GAGTTCTTAAAAAATTCTGAGTCGGCGTGGTCACAGCAATCTTCGACTACACACTCCGACTTACCAGAACTAAAATCACAAACGACAACGGTTATGGTTTGTGATGTAACAAAGAATAAAATTATTAATTTTGAAAGGTTTCGTTCTTATCAGCGTATCGTGCGCGCCGGCGCTTACCTGTTGCGATACATACATAACTTACGCACACCAAAGAAAGATCGTACACAGGGGCCGTTATCAGTAGACGAATTGAATGACTCCTTACAGTCGTTAGCGCGTCTTGCTCAACGCGAATCGTTTCCGATGGAATATGATAAGTTAAAACATAACTTACCTTTAAAAACTTCAGGTTCGATTTCTAGGCTTAATATATTTCTAGATGAAAGGGATATAATTGGAGTAGGTGGCCGTCTTAGTAACTCGCCTGACTTTCATTACGACAAGAAGCACCCGATACTTTTATCAAGTAAACACAACTTCACACAATTGTTGTTTCAACATCAACACAAAGAGCTTCTTCATGCTGGTCCCCAGCTGCTATTGGCCACCGTGCGTGAGAATTGGTGGCCGTTAGGGGGTAGAAACCTAGCTAGAAAGGTTGTCCACCAATGTGTCCGCTGCACTCGAATGAAAGGTAAAACCCTAACGCCAATCATGGGCAACCTTCCGTCTGAACGAATAGAACCTGGTTTCCCATTCATTCGATATGGAGTGGATTATGCGGGTCCCATAAACGTACTGAGTCGCAAAGGAAGGGGAGCTAAATTGGAAAAGGGCTATATTTGCATATTCGTTTGTTTTGTTACCCGGGCCATTCATCTAGAACTTGTCAGTACGTTAGCTGCTCAAGAATTTATATTAGCACTTAAAAGATTTATCTCACGACGAGGTAAACCAGCTCAAATTTTCTCAGATAACGGTAGAACTTTCATTGGAGCCATGAAAGAGATTAACAAAATGTTAGAGCGAAGTTCAAAGCAAATAATTGATAGATTATCAACTGACAATATTGAATTTAAATTTATTCCCCCCTTATGCTCCTCATTTTGGGGGATTGTGGGAAGCAGGAGTAAAATCATGTAAGTTCCACCTTAAGCGTGTCGTGGGTACCGCTAACTTGACATACGAGGAGTTCAGCACTGTGTTGGCACAGATCGAAGCAGTCCTAAACTCCCGTCCTATAAGTCCTATGTCCTCAGATCCACATGATCTTCGTCCACTAAGCCCAGCTCATTTCCTCATCGGCCGGCCACTCACTGCACCAGCCTGCAGAGACCTCACCGAAGCACGGACTCACAGCTTGAAACGGTTTCAAAGAGTGGAACAAATAAAACAGCACTTCTGGAAACGCTGGTCACAAGAGTATGTTGCTGAACTTCAGACAAGAACGAAGTGGAAGGCGAACAGTGAAGACATAGCATTAAACACGCTTGTCGTTATTAAGGAGAACAATTTACCACCCCTTAAATGGCGTATGGGCAGAGTTACCCATATTTTCCCCGGAAAAGACGGCGTGTCGCGTGTCGCCACCATCCAAACTGCTACGGGTCCTGTACAACGAGCGTTCTCGAAAATCTGCCCTCTGCCTGTATCATCAGCAGAGGACGACAACATGAATGCAGCCTGCGGTATCTCCAATCAAGCGGCAACGTAGATACATCATTGGAAGCTGGAGCTTCCAAGGCGGCCGGCATGTTGGCGCGACTTCTAACGCCGCCTAGCGACGCACCGGAACACCAAACTTTTAGCTACGAATCAGAGCTCGTCATTGTTAGCAACCAATCACAGCACGTCGTGCAATTAGTTATAAGATCTGTCTGTATTAAATTTTGTTTATTACCTGATACACACTGTTAGCAATAAGACGACTTAAATATAACCAACAAACGTTCAATAAATAAATTCATTGAAGAGCACCTGCCTCCCGTTCCTGTACAGAGCTTTCAGATAATAGTTTTGAAGAATCCGCTGCGCTATGTCGATTACTCTGGTTTTACTGCGAATTATAAAATTATTTTATTAGTAAATAGAAATTCAAGTGTCACTACAATTTTTACTGTTGGTAGAGCACTTGTTATTTCAGGAGCAATTTTATACATATTATTGCACAAAATTACACTACAAGTCATTTTACCTAACACATTTCGAAATAAATAGAAATTTAGAATAATTATTCATTAAAATAAGAGATGAACTGTGTAAATGTTTACGTCACGCTTGGCTGCCAAGTCATTGTGGCATACGTGACAACGAACCTATCGATCCCTTGGCAAAACAAGCGCCTACTTCTGGATCCTTATTGCATTATGAAACTCATACTCAAGGCCTTATTTCTCTTGCGAAAGTCCATCGGATGTCATTGAAATTACCTTAAGGAAGAAAATTTAAAATTTTAAAATAATGTAACCAACATTTTAAATTTTCTTATTAATTTATCATTCTTATCAGCAAAATTCCCAGAAGCACTAAAGTTGTCAATTATAAAACCTTCATTTAAGAAAGGGCGAAAATATGATGTTTGAAATGATCGTCCAATCACCTTTATATCTATTCTAGCTAATCTTTGAAAAATATATGTATAAAAGAATTCTTCATTACTGTGATAAATACCAAATAACTGAAAGTGAACAATACGGGATTCAAAAACTTAAATTCACATCACTTTCCATGTTTTCGTTAGTAAAACTTAGTAACATAAACAATAGAGAGTTGACATTGACAACAGGATTATTCTTTGATCTTTCAAAGGCCTTTGATTTCGCTTCACATGACATATTATTGCAAATATTTGAGATCAGAGGACCAGTACTTCAGTGGTTATCGTCATATTTAAAAGACAGAAAACAATATCTCATCATTGACAAAATAGATAGAAACAATAACTTAACATCTTATCCATCTGGATATAAATATAATAAATTTTGCATTCCGCTAGGAAATATATTAGAACCAATTATTTTCCTATTATATATTAGTGATATTGTTGACATAACGAATCATAAATGTATTCTGTACGCTGATGACATTTTAGTTATTTTGACTAGTAATAAAAATAATAATACAATTAGGAATCATGAAGATGACAGTAATAATACAATTGACAAACTAATATGGCTTGGCGTAAATAATTTCAAAATTAATTTAGATAATTCTCATTACATACAATTTAACAAATCTATCAATTTAAATCATCATATTGAATTTATTATAACAAAACTAACAGAAGTTACATGTACAAAATTTGTGAGAGTAACGTTAAATGAAAATATAAACTAAAAAGTACACATAGCTATCGATTGCACAAGAATTAATAAATTTGTATGCCCTTAAACACGTCAAAAACGTCACAGGTATTAGAATGGAAATAGCAACGTACGACACATACCTAGCGTCTATTCCACGCTATGGAATTATAATATGGGGTAATAGTACTGACAGAAATAAGGTATTCGTTGCTCGAAAAAAATTTATTCGTGCAATTTACGGAATGTCCCCCGAGGATATATGTAAACTAGAATTTAAAAGACTTGTTATATTACTCCTCTCATCACTATACATTTATGAAGTTGGCATGTTTGTCTTTAAAAATAAGTCACTGTTTAATTAATTGCGTGATAAATATCCCCAAAACCGATATGACCAACAACAAAAATTGCCTAAATATGTGTATAAATATTTAATAAACTACCTAAAGAATTTAAATTATTAAGCGAAGGATTATATAAGAAACATTTGTTTAATTGGTTAAAACCGAATGCTTTTATGACGTATTTTTTTAGATAGTAATTTTTAATACGTTTGTTCATATAAAAAACACGCATTTATAATTAATATTTATTGTGCACTTGCATGCTATGTATGTTGTTAGCGAAGCACGAGTGCCCTAGATAAATTGCAACATCTTCTTATACCGTGATTCTTGCAAATAAAGATTTATGTTTTAATGATTAAAAAAAATTACGTTATTATTTAAAAATTCTAAACAATAGTCAAACTACAATAGACTTGCTAAACTAGTATGATTTCATACAGAAAATATATAAAAATGTATAGGGATTCGGATTTATTATTCACACGGCACCCAGCATTACACAACCCCAACATCCAGCACCATGTGAGTAGTAAATCCGGAGTATTTTCTGTATATACGCTTATATCATAAGGGTATATTCAGAAAATACTACTATTCTATTGTTTAGAATTTTAACGCGTCGTTAATTTTTAAAAATTGATTAAGGTTGCCCCAATTATTTTCCGCAATGAATTGAAAATGTTATAACATTTTTATCGAGCATATATTGAAAGATGAGGTTTCTTTTTAGTATTTTAATTTTTTTGTTGTTGAGTGTTGTAAGATCTCACAAAATAACAGGTAACCGTCTTTACATTATCTATTTATTACGTGCTGAAAAAAGTATCCGCCATATTGATAGATCTTTTTTTCTCCATCGATTGCTTTATGATGAATATGCATATGTCATCAGAATATTGGACTAGTCGCTAAAAGCAATCATTGCAGAACAAGATTTTTCAAAATTTTCTTTCAAATGCACTTTAACTAAGTTTAATAATAGATTTTTTTTCTGTCCAGAAGACTTCATAATGTTGAAATTTAATGGAATGAAGACAAAGTCATTATCATGCCAGCCAAACGTAACGTACATCCATAGAACTGTGTATTGCGTCTGTACGAAAAATGGAAATTGGCCTAATAATAATTGTGCCTCGATATTTGACAACTTATACAGTAACAGAACATTAAACGAAAAATGCAAACCAAACTCTTACGTTGTTGTCCAATGCAATGTCTGTAAATGTAGCGAAGAAGGAAGGCTAGATTATAAAAGATGTACGAAACATGTTTGCGAGAGCAATAATAAATCTCGCAGAAGTCGTAAATCTACCAAAGCACTTAAAGAAAAATGTATTGCAAATATTTGGTATTCTTTTGGTCCTTGTCAGTTTTGCTATTGTATTAATGGAAATAAACTTGTATGTAGTTCAAGTAACATACGAACAAAACCACTGGCATTAGGAATGCACAATCTAACTGTATGCGGTGAATCATTTTTGAAAGATGCTATGTATTTAATGTCAGGTCACGAATATATTCGAAGAATAGGAAACGATAGCAATGCAAGACCATCATCAGTTTTAAATAAGGTCAACCCTATGATAGAAGAAATCTATGATAAAGACAGAGGAGTTTTAATTTCTGCTAGAAATATGGTAGGTGTGGAAAATTCTGATTCAGAATACGATTCTAAATCGAAAATTGATTCTAGAACTCAAATGCCATATGAAGAATTTGATAATGAAGCTATTTCAGATGAAACCGATAAGCAGGAAAGCTCGAATTTAAGTAGTAAAAATAATTCAGACGATGAAAACTCACAAATACACGTAAAGCCATCAATATCTTTACCTGGTCAATTGGTGGCAAAAAGAGATAAATTTCCTTCTAAAACTAATACTTTGATAGAAAAGACAAATAATATAGAAGCCGTACAAAGCGAAAAATCTTCCCATTTTGGTGTAAATCTTTCAAGTATGTTAAAAAACATTTTCGATCTAAAGTCAAGAAGAATGGTGTCCCTGAACTCAAAAAGTACCTGCAAGCCTGGAACGAAGTTTGCAGTAGAATGCAACACTTGTCACTGCATGAAAAATGGAAAATTGCTGTGTACAAAGAGATTATGTTTAAAATAAGGGCTAATTTGAACGAATTAAAATACAAAAACTTTAAGGTCCGAGCGTTATTTGTCATATCTTGTCATTAGGTGAAACTGTTCTAATATTTATACTTATCTGACTCAGAGTAATTACTATAATTTGGATTCTTTATCCAAGTGTCTAACTATGATAAAGTCTTAATTAATCCTAATAATAATAATCTATTCCTAGAGGCATAGCAAGGGTTGCTGGTGAAACCGGTGTCTCTTGAAATAAAGATACCTCCTCATAAAATAAAATATTACTATTCTCATATGGCCAGCATGGATGGACCACGTCTCTGATCCATATGACATCACTGTCAACACGCATTGATTGTACACTCTTGTTTTAAAATTTTGAAGTATATATCATAAAAAAATGTGATCTATAATTCTTCACTGGCAATATACACACTGGCTTACAATCTTGTTTTGAAGTTTGGACAAGAAGTTTTTTGATAGAACAAGAGTTACACACGAGCACACAGTCCACCTGATGGTAAGTGGATGTTGTGACCCTTAGACATCTGCATTTATCCTTGAACACAAATAAAAACTTAGGTGCGTTGTCATCCCTTAGATTAAAAGATGAAATGCCTCGTTTCCAGTAAAAAGGTCTCCGGCTCTCTACACTCACCATACGAAACACATCAGCAATGAGCTGCTAATATACCCTGGTATTCTGTATAATTTACCTCGGTCGAGCTGACCTATTCATAGCCGCAGCGTGGCTCTACCACGTAAAGTTGTGTCATAACGTCCCGAAAGGTGTCCAGCCGAGATGAATCCTATTTGTTCCTGGTAAACATTCTCGTCAACAACTTCGAGCGAAGTGCTCCCAACATCTACCGGGATATCTGTGACATGGATGTCACGGATACAATCGAAATAATGTCGGATAAGACTTACTCACTCTTACGTGTGGCTCAAGCGATGACATGTACAGCTACCCGTAAAACATCTCACTCAAAATTTCAGGTGACCCGTAAATGATACTACCACATCCGAAAAGACTTTGGACAATGGTTCCGCTCAATCACTTCTTCAATACGAGCTGTAATGAAGTAGCGTAAGATCCGCCGCATGCATTAGAGATCTGTCTATTGAGTTACATGTATGATGTCATATGGACTGAAAACCGCAGCTTCATTTTCTGATTAAGAGTGTGATCGGAGAGTTTTTGGATTCATCTTCGACGTGTTTTGCAGAACTTAGCTCCGACCGTAAGGGCAGTATCACGAACTACTTATTTCTTTCGTCTACTCTATTATTCTTCTCTAGCCATCTAGGTACTGAAAACAATTTTGTAACTCGAGCTGAAGGTTTTCGGGGCTTTGGATTAGAGAACGAGGAGGATGGAGCGTTGACTTCATCAACGCTGACCTCTGTAACCTAACATTTAGCGTGCCTCTCACCATTCGGTGACCGCTGACAGTTTTAAATCTCGTGATCACTAACACATCACTGAACAGTTGCCGTAGGATCTATTAATGTGACGTTATTTAGAATTAAGATGATCAAAGAACATTTAGTTAAAAACATTTTCATTTGAAGAAAAAAAATTTTCATTATAATCGGTTAAACCATTTCGAAGTTAAGCCTGAACAGACAGAACGACAAACAGGCAAAGGGTATAAAAATGGCAGCAGGGAAATCAGTTCAATAAAAGACAGTTATTTCGATATAACAGGAAGATACTTCAATTATATTTCTCTTATTAATATATTTTTTTATAGGATAGGGTGACAAACGAGCACACAGTCCACCTTATGGTAAGTGGTTGCTGCGGCCCATAGACACCTACATGTATCCTCGATTACAAATCCAAATGCAAATGCGTTGTCACCCGTGAGGACTAAGATGGAATGCCTCATAATCAGTAAAAAGGGTCTCCGGATCTTTAGACTCACCATACGAAACACAGCAGCATTAAGCTACTATTTGACGCTGGTATTCTGTGAGAGCGTGGTTCTTCTCCGATCGAGCCAACCCATTCGTGCTACAACTATACTACTAATATAACTGCAGCATAGCTCTACCACCGTATAAAACCGTCTCATTACACATGATAATAATATTTTAAAAAATATTAACAGTGCTAGCTTGAACTGATCAGTTGGATTGATCAGTTGAACTGACCGTGTGTGTCGTCCATAAGAGAAGCAAAGTAAAGTAAATGAGATGCAATCTTTAATAAGCAGGAAGAATATTATCCCCTAAAAATATGTTGTGAATATGTCCAAGAAACCCCCACATGATTTGAACACTTTTCATCAAATCCGGTCACGAAATATTAAGTAATAATAATATCGCACTCATGTGCACCATTTTATGGAGACAGTGAATAAGGTAAAATTATAGAGTATTTTTTTTACTATCTATCTTTATTTAAAAAGGATTTTGAAGTTATATAGTCTGCAAAATCATTAAATTTTTGTTTACATTTATCTCCGATGACTTGAATGTTCATATTGTAAAAATAAAAGTTTTATGGTGTGGTTTCAAGTCAATTAAATATCAATTTCATTAACTTCAATTGATTTTAACTACATCGGTATAATTAGCAATTAAAGTTGGAAAATTGATTAATTACAAACAAGTAGGTAGCTTTAATCTGACTTTAGGTTTATGTTTCGCATTACAGTTTTTGGGATTTCAAAAATGTGGTTGAAAAATTTAATTTTGTTGTCAATAAATTTAATGTTTGCGTTATCTGCGAATTATGAAAAACGTTAGTATGTTTTAATGCTGGTAATATGCTTAAATAATGTCTTTTTGCTGTACTATTATTATATTTTTGCCTCACTACATTCTATCAAAACGACTGACGAACTCCTCTGTGCTCTACTGATTCCCCCATAGATTGCCTCACAGGTATAGTCTTTATATTTGCCGCGATTTTTTAAAATGTTTTGAGGTTTTACCATACAGATGGTGCTGCATTTCCACTGTTTCATTTCTCACTTATACTGTCACTATACGGCGAGTGGTAGTATAAGAGAACCCACTATCCATATCCTCCTATGGGTGTCCTAAAAAGCGATACAGGGAAATATTTTAACGTAATAAAGATAGATGGTTTTGTTTTCTATTATAACGATGGCAAACAAGCACACTTTCCGCTTGATGATAAGTGGATACTGTGGCCATAGACATCTACATCTTTCCTCGGTTTATCATCAAAAGACAGATGTATTGTCACGCCCTAAAGAAAAAGAGGATCATCGGCTCTTTACACTCACCATACGAAACATAGCAGGTTTAAGCTGCTATATTACGCTGGGTTTTTTTATAGGGTGGCAAACGAGCACACAGTCCACCTGACGGTAAGTGGTTGCTGCAGCCCATAGACATCTACATCTATCCTCGGTTACGAATCAAAATGTAGATGCGTTGTCACCCGTGAGGACTAAGATGGAATGCCTCGTTTCCAGTAAAAATTGTCTCCTGATCACTACACTCACCATACGAAACACAGCAGCAGCATCAAGCTACTATTTTACGCTGGTATTCTGTAAGAGCGTGGTCCTTCCCCGATCGAGCAGACTCATTCGTGCTACAAGTGGGGGCTTTTTTTTTTTTAACTATTTCCATGTCCATAATATAGCTGCAACGTGGCACCACCACAATGCTACATAGATAGCGGCTGGTATACCGTGTAACGTCTATGTAAAGTCGTCCTTCCCTTTTTTAAGGGATCCCTAAATACTCGTTTATACCGATACTGCTCCACAAAATTTCACTGCTGAACATAGGTCTTCTCCAAAGATTTCCTCATATAATAAGGTATATTTGCCATAGTTACCACCTTTGGCATTCGGGTTAGCAAACGCATTGCTTATTTTTTAACTAATATTAAGAATACGTTGCTGCCCGTCTATTAGTTTGTATACCTTTGTTATCTCTTACGACACCCACGGGACTATATGAGGTAGTGACTATTCTTATATTTATACTCGTTATTTATAAATTTTTTTAAGTAAATCGATCCAACAATTTTACATCAGGAGTAGCAAAAAAGGTATGGAGTGAGCATTGTACAAAAAATTCGCACGTTCTTAACGACTGTAACTGGTGCTGGTGTGACAGCAACCATCGGTACAAGTGTCATGCTCGAGCTTGCGGCGAGGTGGACATGTTTGGACATTTTAATGGTAAGAAAACAAATAAAAATATAAACCATGGAGATCTAATTACCCTCTCGAATACTTTACTTACTTTATTAGCATGTAAGTGTCTACTCCTGGATTGGGACTTTGTGAAAGTCGTTTTACCTAAGCCCCATGGCCTCAGTGTATTGGGCTATTAGGAGTCCGTTGCGCAGGTGAAGTAAGAAGCCGCGGAGGAAGCCGTACCTTGGGTTTCTGGTACGCCTTACCTCAGAAGAAAAAGGCTTCCGAAAGGCTGCCAATCCATGGGGCAACCGGCGTTGATAGCTCAGCCAATACGCGGTGAAAGTGGAACACCATAAGATTTTAGTCGGTACGAGTTTAACCTATACTTTCTCCCTCGAGGCGCGTATATGTAGGCATTTCCCAACGTAAAAAAGGCCACGGTACAAAACGTCGTCTTTCTCCGGCCGAGCCAATCAATTCATGCTAAAGCTATAATACACTGCAGTGTCGCTTAAACAAATAAAATAATTGGGGATGCTGATCGCAGTACCAAAGGTCCTTGCACCTTTGACACCGCTCTCCATAGGCGGTCTGGATATTCTGCATCTGCCTCCATCAGATGTCATAAGAACTTTGTGGCGTTTTCCATAGTTCTCTCTTCCGACATCCATATAAGATAAAACGAAGGAATATATTCTCTTACGCCGCCACCAAACGGCAATAAGGTATTTAAAAATATACTGAAATCAGTCATTAGCTTAAATTAGACAAATATTTTGTCATCTATCACAGACAATAAGATCTTTCTCGATTTTCTCCTAGTAGCATCGAACAAAAGTTTTAACTCTAGAAAATAATATGCCATTATACGAAATGCTTGTTTTGTATAGATTTAGAGTTATACATATATGAATATAACTTTAAACGCATGGTTTAATTTAGTAACCGTATTTATTTATTTTAATTTGTTCATACCTTGCCTACTATGGCAGCATTTTTTACGCGGTCTTACACAAAATTCAGTCGTTTGTATATTCCACGAATCGCTGCAAATATTCTGAAAATAAGTTTATTTGTAATCGTTTCTTGACAGATGCAATAAAAGATATAGACGTTGGAATTGAAGGAAAAGGCTCTTGGCGCACCACAGAAACAGCCTGCTCTCCAGGAGTGCACTACCGGCGGGATTCAGTACTATGTGTGTGCAATGAAGATGGCAACTGGCCTAACCCAGTCTGTAGGGACATATTTCGAGTCATGCACTCAGTAGAAGTCACTAGAGGAATAGAAATATCACAAAAATGCGAGCCATCTAAACTCCATTTAGTTGGCTGCAACGTGTGTTTTTGTCCTTCGTCTGGGATTCTGAATTTGGACTTATGTACAAAAATGACATGTTTAAAAGAAGATCCCGTTATGAATGCTACCAGAAATCTTGAGTACGAAATGAAAGTGGAAGACGATAGTGAATTAGAAATATATGCAACATGTACAACAAATAAACAATATTCCTTAGAATGCCGAACATGTACATGCCTTCGTAACAATAGACTCCTTTGTAATAGCAATAACTGCTCGACTGTAGAAAGACGTGAAGAAAAATCTAATCATCCTAATTTGATTAAAGAATCCGTTTGCGATAACTATGACGTGGGTGAGATTTTTAACGAAGCTTGCAATTACTGTTTCTGTGACGGAAAATCTTTAAAATATTGCACAACAAAGAGATGTTTAAAATACTTTCCTTTAAGGCAACTAGATATAACTGAAAATGAATTCGAACTAACCCAAGCCCCCATTGATAATAACGAATGCAAACCGGGAACTAAGTATAATAGAGATTGCAATACCTGTTATTGTTCGAGCCAAAATGGTAAAAAGAGTTTTAGTTGTACAATGAAACAATGTAATGTCAAAAATGCTGTTGATTTAATTGAAAATGATTGTGTTAATAGAACAATGTACGAAAAAAATTGTTTAATATGTCGATGTGATATAGAAGCGGGTGCAAAGAGAGAAACTTGCGTAGCAGATAGATCATGTACTAGAATATCATATGATAAAGAAACTCATGCATTAGATATTGAATTATTGCAAGGTTTCTGTAAACCTTTACACGGTTACAAGAAAGAGTGTAACACGTGTCAATGTCTGTCGAATAGCAAAATACTAAAATGCACAAGCCGTAACTGTAAATCACCACAAGCTTTAACAGTTGAGGTGATACCAGTTAAGCCGAAACGTCCAGATCACTGTCCTATAGGTCTGTCTTATGAATTAGACTGCAATGTATGCTTCTGTCTGGAAAATGGAAATGCTATTTGTACTACAAACGATTGCGAAGACAAATATGAAGACCTTTATTAGTAATTTTTGTGTTTGTAGACTGTCAACATGATTTAAACGAGCTTATTCCATCTTTTCATTTTTTAGACTCTTTATTAAATTAGCTTCAAGAACTCTGTGACATTGATGCAAATAATATTAGATTTAATTAATAAAAGAACTCCTTGAAGATCCAATGTAACAGTAAGGTCAAATTGTATTTTATATGCTGAACATAGTCCTCCCCCATAGATAGCTCCATAGGGGGGATATTTGCCATAGTTGCCACGCACGGCTTTGCATTTATTTTTTATTTTTAATCGTTATTAGGAAGACACTGCTGTGTAAAGCTAACGACACCCACGGGATGATGTGGGGATATTCTTACACCACCACTATGGTTTATTTACTACTGTAATGATAAAATTTATATTAAGGATCCTTATTTTCTTAGTGGTAGAGTTTCAACTCGGCCAATGGATCTATCTGAAACTATCGGTGTCGCCTTCTTGACTACTCGTTTTCTGTAGCTAAGCATTAGATTAGCAGTTTTTGCAAGTTTTAGAGTTTTGTTTTGATAGGCAAATTATTATATTTAGAATCAGGAATAAATGTATTATATTTTAGATACACGTATCCATTTAATACACGATACAATAAAATTTTCTTAGTAAAATAAAAATACCGAACTAAGTTCTATTAGCCGACCAAATTTTATTTTAAATAAGTACTAATAGTCCTTTTTTCTATGATTTTTGAATGGAGTCTACCCGATCGTTTGTTTTTCATGACATTAATTTGTGAGTTTTTTTTTAAATCGATTCTCTCCATCTCGACTTATGCGGCGCGACGTCCGCGCGTAATAACTTAATACTTGTTGATCGAAGCTTAATACGCTTGGAACACCTGGCCTTAAAGGGGAATGAAGTCCAGGCATATTTTCGTCTTGTTCTCAGGGACTTCTCTATTTACAATTATCCTTAAACTATATTACCTTATTACTATCAGGAAAATTGCTTGCTTGTTTGTCAATGTAATATAATAAAAAAATGTCCCTTCAGTTTTCAGGGTGAACGCGGACTTTGTTTCCAAATGATCCTTACATGACAAAAAAAAATTGGAAACATCAAACCTTAAAACTATTTATATGCTTATGCTACCAGTGTAAAATAGCAGTTTAATGCTGCTGTGTTTCGTATGGTTAGTGTAGATAACTGGAGAACAGTTTTACTGGAATCGAGGCATTCCATCTTAGTTCTCAGGGGTGACAACGTATCTGCATTTTGATTCTTAATCGAGGATGGATGTAAATGTCTATGGGCCACAGCATCCACTTACCATCAGGTGGAATGTGTGCTCGTTTGTCACCCTTACTCTATAAAAAAATTGAATTTAGTAGAATATGTATGTACTTACTATTTTTTTTAATTTCGCTTCTTCGCCTTCAATAATTCAACAATTACTACACTTTAAATTTCCAGTCCGCTAAACGCCTTCGTCTAGTTTACTATTAGCAATATATTGTATTATTGTGGCGTTCTAAAAGCGAAATAAGAAATAATGTCGTCCAGACAAAATTTTGGTTACGAAGGTCAGTATCAACAGAGGCTAGTCAACTACTCATCTGGATTATCATACCACACTGTCATGTAATATTCGCTCCCTCACTCTTATATTCCGATGTGACGGTAATCTGACATGCCTGGAGAGAGATCAGACTTAGAATGTTTAGGCCACGGGTATGAAACACCGCCAAATTCCTGACTCCGGGCTAGGAATTGCTGCTTTCTGACTCCTAAGAATTTTTGTCAGATAAGCCCAATGACTGAATTTTGACCGAAACCGGGATTTGAATAAAGAATAATCAATCAATAAAAGAGTGAATAGGATTTTACGTGGTAGAGCCATGCTACAGCTATATTAATTATATAGTTGTAGCACGAATGGGTCGGCTCGACCGGGGAAGGACTACGCTCACACAGAATACCAGCGTCAAATAGCAGCTTGATGCTGCTGTGTTTCGTATGGTGAGTATAGCAAATCGGAGACCCTTTTTACTGGAAAAGAGAAATTCCATCTTAGTCCTCAAGGCTGACAACCCATCTTCATTTTGATTCGCAAACGAGGATAGATATAGATGTCTATGGGCCACAGCAACCAATTACCATCAGGTGGACTGTGTGCTCGTTTGTCACCTTTTCCCTATTGTTACGCCACACCGTCACAGCCAATCACAGCGTACTGTTTAAGCCAGCCAATCGTAGCTAAGCCAAGCCAAATCCACCACTCTAATTACCGGCTGCCTCTGGTAGGGTGTCCAGCTATATAGCCTTACAACCTAATTTGTGGGAGTTCTTATAAGACCGCTCTTTGTAAGATGAAACGCTGTTAGAAATATTAAAATTAAATAAAATTGGTGTGTTTATAGTTTTCTACCTTCTTTTTATTTTACTTACTGTTACACTATAAAACAATCTAACCTGAATTTAGAAGCACAAGTCATCTTGTGATCAAAACGAGGAAAAAATTACACGTGGTCGGCCTGGCCTCCCCCATATATTGCCTCATAGGGACTTTCCATAGTTGCCACGCTTGGCTTGCAGACGGGTTGGTAACCGCAGTTTCGGAAGATGCTGTAGTCCATATCCTGTTTTATTCTCCCTCGGTTGCCTCCTACGACACCCGCGGGATATGGGGTAGGTGGATATTCCAACACCGCTACTACATGGTAACTATCTACTGGACACTATTATTCCAATTCAGCGGTCCGCAAATGGACTTTATCGCGATAGCGGACTACTGTGAAAGTACTGTTTTATTTTTGGGGATATAAAGGAATAATAACAAATGAAATACCAAAACTTGTTGATCACATTTTAATTTGAATATGTAATTATGGTTTTCTTATACATTAGTTAAAACAACTATAACAATGCAACAATAAATTACAATGACTAAAAGACATTAATCGTACCTTAAAATTTTACAAAAATATTTTAAAAATATTAAAATAAAATTTGTGCTTCTATCGTGCGTATTGAAGCAAACATGTTAGGCCATAAATTTTTTTTGATAGCTCCTTGTATAAGTACATTGATTTTTTTATTCTATATTTGAAGAAGAACACATTCCGAACCATCACTTAGTATAAATTAGAGAATATTTCATCACGTTTTTCTTTATAACTATAAATCTAGGATTTATGATTTTAAAATACAATTCATTAATAAAGAGTTACAGCGCTAAAGGCCGCAGGTTCAAATCCCGCACGGAATAAGTATTTGTATGGCCTACAAGTAAGTGTTCCGTTTGTGGATGTTTGTGCTTGTTCAATTTATGTTTATAAGATGTCTCCACGATACAGGAGAAAATCTTAGTGTGGAGGAAACGTCTTAATATAAAAAAAGATGAAAGTCTAAAGATTTCAAATTTATAACGTCTTGAAATAGTGTTCTAACTAATTAACTATGCTAATGAATGTTTCTGTTTCCTTTTCTTTAAAGAAATAATTAAAAAAGAAATGTACCTATGAAAAAAATTCTCAATAAGACGGGGTTATCTGATGAAGTAATACAATATAATAAACATAATATTTAATTTTCTTTATGTATATATGAATTATAAATTTGTTATGAATGTCTTTTATAGTGATTTTTTTATTCTTAAGTTCTAATATCGTAAGTTAAGCAATAAACATTGTATCAGGAAGTATGAAGTTTAAATTTTTTTTTAATTTTAGCACCAGCACATCCATTTAGCGGTGAAAGCAATCGCGCACATTATCATTGGATTTTTTTTTCAAATAGTTATAAATTTATTAGAAATTCTATAGTTCATTAAGTGCTTGTAGCTTGAGCATACAGCGATCCTTACAATTTGATTATTATAGGGGAAATACGTACAAAATGACATACAGTTTTCTTTTTGGATCATAACTCTTTACTTATTAATAAATCACAGCACATTCATATTGTACACCAGTAATCTTTGGTTTTATACCTATGAATTCTAATAGATATTTAAAGGACAAACTAACTGAATTTTTTTAAATTAAAGTTTAACTGAGTTCAACGAAAATCCATTTTGTTCATAGCATATGCACAAAATGGCATACACTACAAAATTAAAAACATTAACGACAAAGCTCGCAAATAAATCGCTTTGATCGTTTAGACTTTAGAGACATCCGCGCAAGAAACGTGGGTCCACTGCGAAACACTCATAGAGAATATAACCGCCGTAAGTGGTTATATAATCTTTGGAAACACCGCAACCAGTCTTCTCCTGGTCTTGATCGGAAAAAAAGATCGATGCGATATATGCAAGATAAAATAAGGTCTTGACTAGTGTTTGATGTTGAATTATCACCTTGTTCAGTAGAGTGGGTTGTTTGAACTGTGTCGTTTTTGTAAAGTTTTAGCTCTAAAGAAATTAACAGATTTCAATAAAGGTATGCTAGTGCACAATTAGCTCACTGAATTCTTATGGAAAAAAGGCCATACCTATGTCATTTTGTCCTTATAGCATTATAAAAAATAAAAATTCAACAATAAATTCAAACTTAATAATATTTACGGAAAATTTTATTCAAATGCAACAATAAGTACATAAGGGGTGTAATAAATGTACAAGCAAAGTAAAACTATGAAAAATATAATATTAATATAAAAAACTCCCTGCAATAAGAAAAAACACATAACCTACCAATTTTTGTCGTCGGCTATGACACCCGAACGAAAGACAAGCGCGAGTTCACGTTTTGACAGATGGGTATGAAGCTAGTAGTCACGTGATATAGTTGTCTAAGACGGGCTAAAATTGACATGTGTCATTTTGTACGTACTTCCCCTACCTAATTTATAAGAGATGTAGAAGTTTTAGTTACATGTATCTATTAAATAATAAACTATAAATCACAAGGAGTCTTAAGTTGTTAGACATTAATAATCAACTGTGATGTAAAAAAGGGAACACTATATACAATGACATTAAATCTTTTGGCTTTAAAAATGGTAATCAATACTTTACGGGGGCTTTAATGTGTTTAAATTTTGGAAAGGTTCTTTAACACCTAACTGTCATACTTATGACTTATGTCTAAATAAAATAAAATAATGTTTCTTTATTTTGTAACGAAGTTGAAGAAAGAAATACGGAGCGTTGCGAACATTTCAAGTGATGTAAAAATCACTCTTCAAGACTTTTCAATATGGCTTTAGGTAGGTAGGTACATGTCTGTGTGTCTAGCAATGAACTTTGACGGGCTCACAAAGAAAAAAAGTTGAGAAGAGTGCTTTGTCTATCTTTATTTGTTGGTCTGAGGGCTCAGACTGTGGACATTTACGTACAGTGATGCCGAAACTATGCTAAACTTCTTGACGCACACATGCACATGCATACATCTTTCTTATTTCTTTCTTTGTCACTGCTAGTACATCTAGTAGTACTACTAGTACGTACACTTATGCATCTAAAATTAAGTTTTGGTTACAAACGATTTTAGATGAATATGTGTAGTACGGTTATTGCATCACATGAAAAGTCGTCTTTCTTTATTCGTTAGTTTGAGACAAATGCTTTGTAAGAAAAAAAGAAAAATTAAAACTTATAAAAAGTTGTAAAGAGTAAAAAGAGACATTTCTGATCTGCTCGTAAACTGCTGGTCAGGGGTCCTTCAAAAAAAGAAGAATTAACCTAATACACATTTTTTTAATCATGTCTTAAGCGAAAAAATGCGAAAGGCAATTTACCTCTAAAACCAGGTTATCATAAGATAGAAGCACGTGTTATTAACATTATCATACACAAACAATAATATGGCCATTGTTTTTGGTTTCTGCCATAATCAAACCTATTAAAATCCATCTTAGCCTTAAGTATATTTATGCTATTTTAAAAAGACATTTTTAATCAGATCAAAGTACTAGGCGGTAAGAAGTTAGGAGAAGGTATCGTTGACCTGCCTACAGCAACGTATGAAAGTGGCTCTTCTTGACAGCTCCCTAAGTCTGGCTGCACCTACGTAGGTACAGGCGGATCGTAGGCCGCCTAGAATATCCTTTACTGTTGCACTTACATCTCCTCTGTATTCTACCTCCACTGTTTTACCTGCAACACGAAAGTTATTTTAATCTATAATTAAAATCCAAGCTACATCATAATTCGTAACAATTAACAAAAGAACATGGCACTCTTTTTTTAAAGAATACTAGCTATTAGTTAACACTCCTAAAACTCCAGTAACCACTCTTACATAGTTAAAATGCTTGTCGAATGGTGGATTCGAATCCACGACTTTTTAGTTTTGTAGTCGGCACCCGTAATCAAAAGGCTGTGTGTATGTGTATGTGTGTGTGTGTGTGTGTGTGTGTGTGTGTGTGTGTGTGTGTGTGTGTGTGTGTGTGTGTGTGTGTGTGTGTGTGTGCGTGCGTGCGTACGTGCATGCGTGCGTGCGTGCGTGCGTGCGTGCGTGCGTGCGTGCGTGCGTGCGTGCGTGATGCGTGCGTGCGTGTGTGCGTGCGTGATGCGTGCGTGCGCGCGTGCGTGCGTGCGTGCGTGCGTGCGTGCGTGCGGGTGTGCGTGACCCATAAACATCTACATCTATCCTCAATTACGAATCAAAATGCAGATGCGTCGTCACCCGTGAAGACTAAGAATACCTCGTTTCCTGTAAAAACGGTCTCCGGTTCTCTAAGTTTATAATAATTTATTAAAAAAAGCTTTAAATAAAGCAAAGAAGTTTATCTTTAGCTTCTTTGTTAAATAAAGTTTAAACCCACAAATACCTAAACTGGAAACAACTACTTGTAGGCCTATATTATTTGATGATCCGTAAAATTTCCAAGCAGTGAAGCTTATTACGGCTTCGTGGCGCAGTGGCTTAGCAATGAGTTACAGCGCTAAGGGCCGCGGGTTCGAATCCCGCACGAAACAAGTATTTGTATGGCCTACAAGAAATTGTTCCGGATCTGGATGTTTGTCCTTGTGAAATTTATATTTGTAAACTGCCCCCACGATACAGGAGAAAATCCTAGTGTGGAGGTAACGTTTTTAAAACAAAAGAGAAAAAAAGAGCTTGAAATGGTCCTCTCCCTTTGTGGGGAGAACTCACCTTAATCGCCACACTCCACAGACGGTATGTTTATCGCAGTGATAATATAATATAATATAAGTCTCGCAACTTTGATGCAGCTTCCTATTTTTGGTCTTGGTATTTTACGTCTGGCTTAAACGATAAGGTTTTACCGCCATCTATAGAAGACCATAAAATCTTTCTGCTATCTCCGAAATAAGGCGATAATTTTTTGTTTCAAGTGCAGAGAACCGGAGACACATTTTACTGGAAACACGGCAATCCATTTTGATTCGTAATCGAGGATAAATGTATATGTCTATGGGCTACAGCAACCACTTACCATCAGGTGGACTGTGTGCTCGTTTGTCACTCTTTTCCTATTAAAAAATAGGGCATCCTACTCAAATGCTAAGTCCTACGTCGCTTACCTTCCGAGGAGCGATAGTCGGCCACGCCACCTAAATGCTTCTGCATTGCCGTGGAGGATGACATGCCGTAGAACAGCTTCACGCGTCTCCCGTCGGGCTTGCTGACCACCTCGCCCCCGCACTGGTCGTGTCCGGCGAACATGCCGCCCGCCATTACGAAGTCAGCGCCGGCGCCGAACGCTTTCGCCACGTCGCCCGGGCACGTACAACCGCCGTCCTGGCGAAAAGGCGAAAGTACGTACTGTATGTAGTAATCTATAATGAAAAAAAAATTCTTTTCTAATAAGTTTTTACGAGGTAGAGTCATGCCTCACCTATATTAGTAGTATAGTTGTAGTACGAATGGGTTGACTCGATCAAGGAAGGACCATGCTCTCGCAGAATACCAGCGTAAAATAGCAGCTTAATGTTGTTTTATACGGTAAGTATAGAGAATCGAAGACTCGTTTTACTGGAAATGAGGGATTCTATCTTAGCCCTCACAAGTGACAACGCATCTGCATTTTGATTCGCAATCGTGGATATATGTAGATGTCTATAGGTCACAGCAGCTACCTACGAGTACCATCTGGAGGACTGCTCGGTTGTCACCCTTATCATATCATTTAAAAATTAAATTCTAGAAGGTCGTACTTCAATTATAATGTTGTCTTTAGCCTTACATTCTTAAATTATATATACAAGATGTATAAAATATTTTTTTATTTAAAGAGCTCACTGCGGTATATGCCCATCACTTGCCTGGCTTTTAGGAATTTAGTCGCTATGAATTTTTTCGTATGATATGATAGATCACAACTCCTCGCGAAAGGAAATCCATTCCTAACGAGGATGATACGTGAGGCTATTACTAAATTTAAAACTAAACCCAAGCATACTACTGCAGGACTTCTAGATTATTAACTTATTCTGCTTAGATTGTATCAAAAATTAATAATTAAAAGCTGGGATTACGTCAGGTTACATTTGTAAATACAGTTCTGGAACCGCAGAAAATCCACGGAAGCAGCTTATGAAAATCGATGATGATGACCGTAATGGTGATGTTAAATTAAGTAGACTTACAGAAATGATGTGTCCCTTAAGTCCGTGCGCTGCGTCGGCACATTCGATGACGGCGGATAGCTGCGGATATCCCACTCCAGTCTTTATACGTGTCGTACATACGGAGCCCGGTCCTATGCCCACCTGAAACGACCAACGACCAAGAGATCATTTTTACGTGGTATGAATGCATGCATCGTATTGCATTTACATGCTGCAGTTATATTGGTAGTATATTTGTAGCACGAATGGGTCGGCTCGACTGGGAAAGGACCACGCTCTCACAGAATACCAGCGTAAAATAGCAGCTTAATGTTGCTGTGTTTCGTATGGTGAGTGTAGAGAACCGGAAACCCTTTTTACTGGAAATTAGGCACTCCATCTCAGTCCTCACGGGTGACAACGCATCTGAATTTTGATTTGTAATCGAGGATAGATGTAGACGTCTATGGGTCACAGCAACCACTTACCATCAGGTGAACTGTGTGGTCGTTTGTTACCCTATCCTATAAAATAAAAAAATAAAAAATATCATATCGTGCTGGTGTTTCATAGCTCGGTAGCAAATCGATGAATTCGAATCTTTAGAGTTTTCTATCTTGTATAACTTTTCAACACTTTGACTGTACATTAAGACAGATTTAAATATGGTCGCTAAGCGTTGCCAGTCAACAGGCGCCAGTTACAGTGACTTGGATTTTAAAAAACATTTTTTTTTAAATATCGACTATACACGCCCGCTTACAGCCGTAGGGCAGCATCATGTAGACTTGTCTACTCTATTGCACACAAACACAGAGTATAGACGTATTCGGCAGCTACTTAAAGTTACAGCCTATATACGTCTCACGGCTACGCACAGATTTCTGAGAGGGTTTTAGGGCAAGGAATAGTCCGCCGCGCTGCCCCAATGCGTGTTGGCGAATTTCACATGTCTTCGAAAAAAAATTTTTGCTAATTCTCAGACATGCAGGTTTCTCACGATGTTTTCCTTGTGGGAATAGACTTAAAATTGCAATTATCTATTTCATTGGTGAGTGGTGAGGATGTGTGTGAAAATTACAGCGAGCGCTAACCATCTGAGCTACCACAGCTCTATTCGGCAGTTGCTAAATAGAGTTATTTTATTATTAAGAAATATTTTGTATTTAAAGTTTGGTCACTTATTAATATTACAAACGCACCTTTATTATGTCAGCGCCGGAAAGAATAAGCTCTTCGACCATTTCGCCTGTTACAACGTTGCCAGCCTGAAAAAAAATAATAATTTGCGATAAAAACCTCCTACCTCTTCCACATAGTTTATCGGTTAGATTATGTACGTTAGCCTATCTCCTCAGCTCTGATAGAGTAGACGAGAGAGTTCTTAGAGCGCCGGTGTTACTTTCTGCGACATCACCTGCTCGCAATAAGTGCATGAGAAGGGAGGTTGCGGAGAGAGAGCGAGAAAGAGCATCACAAAAAGCGAAGCGATGAACACCGTGGCTTTTAGCCGTTAGGAGTATTTTTTATTGTTTTAAGCCAGCGTTTAGCTACAATTCCACCTGATGGTAACTGGTGATGTAGCCTAAGATGGTGAATCGCACTGACTTAATAAAAGTCTATTCACTCTTGCCTTGAAGACACCACTGTAATCGGATGGAAAGCAAGACAGAAGACAGAAGCTGGCAACTTATTCCACTCCTTTGCTGTACGCATGATGAACGACATCGCAAACCGTTTGATTCGAATGTGTGGTAAATCAACAACGAAAGGGTGGAGACTGGCCAAACGTCTGGTTGTACGAGGGTGGAAGGAAGAGGGAGGAATTAAATTATGTAATTCCTGCGCACACTCTCAAAAATGCATCCTGTAGAAAACCGAAAGGCCACTTTGCACCTGTGTTCGAGGCTAGTAAGATTGGTTTTAACCAAATTCGGGTCACCAATAAGCCTCTTAGCAAGCCTCTCCATTTTTTTGCAAGGATTTCAGCTTTGCAAAGACTCCTAGTTCCCTTGCCGGTTTTTTTTATAGAAGAAGGGGCAAACGAGCATGCGGCTCACCTGATATTAAGTGACTACCGCCGCCCATGATCAACCGCAACACCAGGAGAATTGCGGGTGCGTTGCCGGCCCTTTAGAAAGGAGTAAGCTCTTTTCTTGAAGGTCCCCAGGTCGTATCGGTCCGGAAAAATCGCCGGTGCTTTGGCCTTGGACTCAATGAACCGCCCGAAATTCAGATTTTAGGATATCTCAACCCCCAACAACTGGAAGCGGTCGGTGTATTCCCGTGATAAATTTCGGAAAAAAGGAGCCAAGGTGAGCTAGCTCCTTTTTTCAGTGAAGAGACACGCTTGCATTTTGGAGGCGTTGAATTTCACAAGATTAGCATCGCCCCATTCGGAGACTGCCTGTAGTGTGAAATTCACACGGTCTACTATACTTTGGCAAAACCTATTTATCGCCCCAGTCGTAGTCAGGTATCCATGAGAATTTCCCTACGTACAAAAAAAGGTCAACCTTATATCCACTGCTGACACAAGCTATTCAGCATTAGGTTGACTTGTAAGACAACCGTTGGCAACCGTAGTTTTTTCTTTTCAAATCATATTAAGCTTTAATCAGTAAGATGCTGTTGCCCTATTTTTTCAAAAAATAACTAAAACTTAATTTAATTTTATGTAGTCGACATTAACTTGTCTTAGTAATAAGTTAACTTTGACGAAATATACTTACAATGATGGTATGTGTCGGGTAGCCGGCGCGCACCCTTCGTACGTACTCTACAAAGTGCTGTGAATATCCATTGGCGACATCCAAACAGACGAATTTCAGTTCCTTCACGTTGTTCAGGATCTCTGATAGTCGTTCGTAGTCCGCTTCAGCTGTTCCTGAACTGGCAGCTGTAATTTTATATATTTATTTATTTATGCTTTCATGCACAAAGTTGTAACTATGGCGGACTTAATATCATATGGCATTTTCTCCCAGTCTAATATTAGGCTAAACAGAGATAGAAATATAAAAGGCGGTGCAGCAATAATCAAAATATATATATATATATAACAAATAGTGGACAGAGTGGACAGGGATGTGTTATTGCAAACGCTGAAATCATTTAGGTTGAGCGCTGCTTTAATACAGGCATTAATATCTCTGTATAGGGACTCGAGTGCTTGTGTTAGGATCAAAGGGGCCTACTCGGACTGGTTCATCTATAAAGGTGTCAGACAGGTGTCACTTATAATATATTCGATTATATTTAATATCTAATCTAAAGTAAGTATATTTAATATCATTATATAGGATGCTAGTTGCTAATAACGTGTGAGTGTTTTAGTGTTTACGATAGTAATCTAATAAACAAAAATTAATGTTTGTTTGTTCATATTTTATACGCTACCATACCGTCCACTAATTGCGGTAAAACTTTGCTAACTTATTGCTAGCACTTGCGCAAAGATTTTAGGCATAGTACAATTAACTAACACAACGTGGCGCGCGTTTATTAATTTATATTAACTTATTTGAGAGATCATCATTCAATTTCAATAAATGTATTGTCATTTCTAATTGAACAATATAACTCTTACAAATATAAACTTATTGCCAAAATTATTCCTTTGCGACACCAATGCTTCAACTAGTATGCAATATACATTACGTTTAGTTGATAACTTCTATTTATTGTCATGGTTTCTTAGTACCTGGGCGACCAAATTACGCTCGGCGTTGGAAAAAAATATCTCAGAGTTTAAATCTAATCTGGATAAATTTGGAAAGTAAATAGACTAGAATAGAATAAATTTATTTGCAACTATAGATACAATTTGGCATGAAAAATATTATCTCGGCTAAGCTTTCCATTGACGTCCGTCGAGTTGGGGGTTGATATTTTTACAGAAAGGTTACACTATTTTAAACACACACGCAAAATTTCAATATGCGGAAACGCGTACTTTTTGAGAAAAAAATTATTGAAAATCAATTATTTTTATAATATTTACGTCAATCGTAACGTAAAACGGACGATTTCTAATAATTAATTAAAGCAATATGTGTATAAAATTGTATAAAACATGTGTATAAAACAGTACCCACCTATTAGGACAGATAACAAATAAAATAGGTTAGGTTCAACTTATGTCAAGGAAACGAATCAATAGACCCCGACTCCACGTGGTACGAGTCTGTCCTACCCCTAGACTGTTTTTATAGATCCGGAGGCGCGTAGGGAGAGAAGCCTCCGCCTGCTGTAACAAATCGTAGGCATCGGACGAACCGGAGCCGCTGAGGCTGGTCGCCGAAGGCGACCAACAAGCTGAAGCTGCGGAGGCGAGGCGATCCCTCTGAATGAGTCCCTCTATTTATTTTTGGTGAAGGGGGTTCCCCTTCCTTAGGGGGTACCCCCTTCCCCCCAAGAGGTCCTCATGGTTTTTTACACTTAATATTTATCCATAAAAAATTATCCATTAAAAATAAAATTTCCTCAGAATTAAAATTGAAAAAAACTCGCAAAGGGGGGGGGGGGCTCCGCAACTTTTCCTTTTAAGGGGGGAGTAGTACACCAAGTGGTTGCGCGGAAAACCATTCGCGTTTTTTTTTATTTTTGACGGTAGGAACTTGTCGAATCATTATTCCCTTCCGAAACAATATCATTCGTACCCTCCTATCGACACATCGGGGTGGTGGGGTGGGAGGGGAAAGAAGACGATTCTAGAACATCGCGTAATCATCGGACCCGAGGATATATAAGACACGCGCGACCGACGCGCGCTCTCTTCTCCCGCCGCAGTCGTCGTTGAACTACAACCTCCTCTTCCCGCGCGCTCGTTTGGAAACACCTCACTAGTGGAAACCGCTTTGGCCTGGAAGCAGTCGAGCTCCAGGAACCCGCCTCACCTCGTGTGAGATATCGTCGCGCACCGCCTCTCTCCGGAGTGTTCCGGAAGTCGCCGCTATAGTGATCGACAGGAAGAAGAAACCCCGGTGAGTCAATACTCCTTAATTATACCTGCTTGCTAATAATTTAACCCGCTCCAATCTGTGTTTTTTTTCCTAGTCAAGCAGGATTCCTTTCATCGATTCGACAAGTAATAGTTTAGTTTAGGGAAGAGCGAGTGCATTGTACCGCATGCTATAGTAGTCGCTTTTAACGTAAGCGTAGAAGCAATCGCATATACAGTCCACTTTAGTTAATATCTCGCGTAATAGGTTTGAGGTTTGACCGGGGAACTAGATTTTCGGCAGCCTTAAACACGTGGCTCCACCATTTTATGGTCCTTCGAGCCGGATCTGGATTGGTGTTTAGTGGTTATCCAACCATTTTCTGGTCGAATTATTAAATTAATTGTTTAGATAACGCACTCTAATTTATAGAATAGACTTAAATAGTGTTCGTTTAAATTAAAATTTTGATTTGTTACTCGCAAACAGAATTATTCATTTAATAGCGCTCGTATTTGGTTAAATTTAAAGCTTATTAAATAATTGAAACGGCGTGATAGCAACCGTTTGATACGCTTACCCCACAATTTTATAAAATTATTAGGTTTAGCAAACGACGCGTAGCCTTGACTGCATCGGGCGCTCGATCTGATTACGTAATACAGCACGCCGAGTATTCATCCTACGTCGTTTATGCGTGTGAGATTAATTGTGATTAATATAACTTTATTATAATAATTTAAAATGGCAGTTAGTGGAAGTGAAATCAAAATTAAAACGCTTTATGCCAAGAGGGACATACTCTTTTCGCGTGTGCAGAATATAAGTGATTATATAAAGAACATTCATATAGAGGCAGTACGGGAGGCCTTTTTTAAATGAAATCGAAACGATAGATAATTTGCGGACAGATTACGAAAGAATATTAGACCAAATTAATCATTCGGAACTACAAACCGACCCGAAATACATAGTGAACTACCAACCGCTGCTGGCATTCGAAGATATGTTGTGTCGCGTGAAGAGAACCGCAAAATTGCTACAATCTCAAGGTGAAGCGAAGCCTGAAATGCAGGTACGCCCTCGTGACTCAATTAGGTTACCGCCAATAGATATTCCGGTATTCAATGGTGATATTAAGACGTGGCCCTTCTTCTTCAGTAGTTTTCAAAACAATATACACAACAACCCATCGTTATCGGACGCTGAAAAATTATATTACTTAATTAGCAAACTTAGTGGCAGAGCACAGTCGATCTGCTCGGGTTTTACACCTACAGCAAACAATTACGTATTAATATTTGAAACGCTTAAAACTAAATATGAAGATAGGAGAATGTTAGCTTCCGAATATTTGAACCAGATATTCGATCTTAAACCTATATCATCCGCGAACATCAACGGCTTAGAGCAGTTTCTCGATAAATTTGTGGCATCGGTGGCTGCACTTAAGAATTTGAAGTTTGATGACCTTATGGACGTGGTGTTTCTCCATATAGCATTAAAGAAATTAGACTCCGACACCGTGCGTGCGTTTGAAATGGAGCATCGTAGCTCGGAGATGCCTTCCTTTCATTCATTAGCATCGTTCGTGCGAGATCAAATAAAGGTGATGCAGCGCTCACCGAACGTTAAACAGGAGATTAAAAGGTGCGTCGACCGTAGACAGACTCAATCATCTAAAATAGCAGGGTCGTTAACTTACGTAACCGCTACGCCGACATCACTCCAGCATACTTGTATAGTATGTAAAGATAAACACGGTAACTTATATAACTGTGCGACTTTTCGTAAATATTCACCAAGCGAACGTTATAAGTTAGTAAAGACAAACAACCTATGTTTGAACTGCTTAAGCGATAAGCATTTAGTTGCAAAATGCAATTCGAGTTCCGTATGTAGCAAGTGCGCCAGGAAACATCACACGCTATTACATTTTGAAAATAGCAACATAGCGGCGTCAAGTAAGGCGAATAAGGAATTCACCCCTACTAAGGTCAACGATTCTAGCGGTCGACCTGATGATGTCGCTCTGTGCTCATTGGCAAATATGGGAGCACAACCTCCTTCAACCGTGTTACTGGGTACGGCGCGTATTTTGGTTAGGGATTCGCGTGGAAACAAACAAAGCGTCCGTGCACTGCTGGACAGCGGAGCCCAAAATAGCTTTATAACACGACAATGTTGTCAGCGCTTAGGCTTAGTAATAAATAGGTCACTTTCATGTCCTGTAGTTAAAGGCATCGGAGGTACTAGTAAAGCGACACAGGGATATATAAATTTAAAATTTTATTCTCGGATAGATCGTAACGTTAACTTTGATATAAATGCACTAGTAGTAGATAGGGTCACTGAACGGTTGCCAACCGTTTCGGTTGACACCTCGGCAATGATTGAATTTAAAAATTTGACTCTAGCAGACGACACTTACGCCGTTCCTGGAAACATAGACATGCTCATTGGGGCATCGCTTTTCCCTCATCTTTTGTTAAACAATAAGGTCAGGGGCAACTCCTCGCATACCGCGCCTTACGCACTGGAAACCGTATTGGGCTATGTGATCCTTGGCTCCGCCCCCATCCTAGATAGTATTTCGGCAGCCTCTTATTGTGGTATGGCTGTCGAACCGCTCGAGTCGTTAGTCCGCAAATTTTGGGAGATGGAGGAGGTGAACGTCCCACCCATAGCTAGTTCAGCTGACAGGATATGCGAGGAAATTTACGTCCGCACGACCGTTCGTGATCGCGACGGTAGATATAGTGTAGCGCTACCCTTTAAGGGAGATGTTTTATCTCTCGGCGATTCGCGTCAAATGGCGGAAAAACGTTTCTACAGCTTGGAGCGTAGGATGCTCGCTTCGCCCCAGTTAAAGGAAGCTTACGACGGCGTCATTAACGAATATATAAGAGAAGGTTACATATCACTTGTGGCTTCGAAATTAGATAACTACGAAGAC